GGAGCTGCTGGACCTGCGGGTCCTCCTGGAGCCGGAGCTGCTGAGGGCGTTGGTGCTGAGCCTACTGCTGTTGGTCCTGCCGCTGGAGGTGTGGGTGGCGCTGGTGCTGTCGCTGAGGGTGCTGGTGCTGTCCCTGCTGAGTCTGGAGCTGCCGCGCGGCCTCGGCCGTACTTCGTTCCGCTCCTGCAGCAGGTTCTTGGTCTTTCTCCTCCGGTAGAGGGTCCACCGCCTGTCCAGTCGCAGTCCCTACTGGAGCCTTCCTCTCCACTGCCTGCTCCCTCTCCTTACACTGGTCCTACTGGAGGTCTTGCTGAGCGCCGTGAGCCTGCGTCTCGTCCCGTGTCGCCTGTTCGTGCTGCTCGCGCTAGTGGTCACAGTTCGCGTCAGCGTCCTCCTCCTGTCCCTGGCACACACCAGATGTCTCTGCGTCCGTCCACTGCTCCTCTGCGTGCCCCTTTGCCTTCTCCTCCTGAGTCCTCTCTTCCTGCGCTTGCCGACCCTGAGTCGGACTCTCTTCGTGCTGCCAGTCCTACTGTCACGCGTCTGCTTGCTACTGTCGTCACTGACCCCTCTTTTGAGTCCACTGCTGCGTCTGCTCTTGTCGCTGAGCTCGTCGACTTTGCTGCTCGCTGCCGTCTAGACTACGCTGCTAGTCTTGTTGCCTAGTCTGCGTCTGTCTGTCCTCCGTCCGTCGGGGGTGAGTGTGCTCTTGGCACAGACGTCCTAGAGGACAGGCAGGAGGAGTTACAGTGTCTGGCTGCTGCTTCACCTCATCTCGCGTCTGTACTGCTTGCTCCTGAGGGAGACCCGGATGCACTAGACATCCCGACTCCGCGCTCTTACGCGGAGGCGATAGAGGGTCCCTACTCCTCTCAGTGGCAGGCAGCTATGGATGCAGAGATGGCTTCCTGGAAGTCCACAGGCACCTACGTTGACGCAGTTCCCCCTCTTGGGGCGAACATCGTCAGTGGCATGTGGATCTTCAGGGTGAAGCGGCCGCCGGGCTCTCCACCTGTCTTCAAGGCGCGGTACGTTGCTCGTGGCTTCAGTCAGCGGCAGGGAGTTGACTACTTTCAGACCTTCTCTCCCACCCCGAAGATGACCACTCTTCGGGTGCTGCTGCACATAGCCGCTCAGCGCGACTACGAGCTTCACTCTCTCGACTTCAGCACTGCGTTCTTGCAGGGTAGCCTGCACGAGGAGATCTGCCTGCGCCGGCCGCCTGGCTTCACTGGGACTTTCCCTCCTGGCACCCAGTGGAGCCTCCGACGGCCAGTCTACGGTCTCCGCCAGGCACCGCGTGAGTGGCACGACACACTGAGGACTACGCTTGCGGCTCTTGGGTTTGCTCCTTCTACTGCTGACCCGTCGCTATTTCTGCGCACCGACACTTCTCTGCCGCCAGTTCTACATCCTCGTGTACGTCGACGACTTGGTCTTTGCCACAGCGGACACTGCTGGATTCGCCTACGTGAAGTCCGAGCTGCTGAAGAGACACACGTGCACAGACCTGGGTGAACTGCGCAGCTACCTTGGCTTGCAGATCACTCGGGACAGAGCACGCCGCACCATTACCTTGACTCAGTCACACATGGTGCAGCAGGTCCTTCAGCGCTTCGGCTTCACGTACTCCTCGCCTCAGGCCACTCCTCTGCCTACTCGCCACTCACTCTCAGCTCTGCCTTCGGATGAGTCCGTAGAGTCGAGTGGTCCGTATGCAGAGCTTGTTGGCTGCCTCATGTACCTGATGACCTGCACACGACCTGACCTTGCATACCCTCTGAGCATTCTTGCACGCTATGTTGCTCCTGGGAGACACCGACCAGAGCACATGGCAGCAGCGAAGAGGGTATTGCGCTACCTGTGCAGTACGTCGGGCATGGGGCTAGTGCTTGGAGGGCGGAGTCCAGTGGTCCTTACAGGCCACGCGGACGCTTCTTGGGCTGACGACCAGGCTACGCAGCGGTCGTCACAGGGTTACACCTTCAGCCTTGGTTCCGGCTCTGTCTCGTGGCGGTCTACTCGCTCGTCTTCAGTTCTCGGCTCCAGTTGTGAGGCTGAGATCTACGCCGGGGCCATGGCTGCACAGGAGCTTCGCTGGCTCACCTACCTGCTGACTGACCTTGGAGAGCCGCCTCGTTCTCCTCCAGTGCTGTACGTAGACAACAAGGCCATGCTGGCCTTGTGTCGAGAGCAGCGCTTGGAGCACAGAACGAAGCACATTGCTCTCCGCTACTTCCTTGCTCGTGAGCTGCAGCAGCGTGGTCAGTTGCGACTTGCGTACGTGGCCTCTGAGGCCAACTCTGCTGATGTGTTCACCAAGGCACTCGCGCCTTGTGACCATCAGCGCTTTTGCACCCAGCTGGGTCTTGTGCCTGTCTTGCCTCACTTGCTCTCCTCTTGACTTCACTTGTACTGTGACATATATATATACCTGCTCTTGCTTGTCTAGTTTTATATATATGTCTGTCCTCCTGCATGTGAACTGGCCTCTGGCCCTACTCTTGTGCTCGGACTGTGTCGTGACTTTGTGATCCACCCTGAGCTTGCTTTGCTTTGCTTTGCTTGACTGGTCTTGTGACCCATTGTTCTCCCCCACTTTGCCTATGGGGGTGTGTCAGAGTATTATAACTGATGCATGTTTGTAGGCTATAGTGGGGTAGCACATATGGGGTACAGCTTTCTAGGGTTGTATTTGTACCCAACTCTGACTTAGTCATTTTCATTCCTGTTCATTCTTTTCACAAGACATACCGTATTTACCCGGGTAATAAACCCGGGGGTCTAATCCTACCCTGGGAAAAATAGGGGGTGGGTCTATTAAGTGGGTGTAAATTTAATGGACCCCGAGTCTAATCCTATGTGCATTTATAGTTTTGAAGTCATTTAAAATACCAGTGTTCCAACCCCAGAAGGAAGAATTCCAATGTTGCGTCAGGGAAAATTTTGACCACAGCCTGACGCGAGGCACGCGCGCGTCAGATTCTGCAGTCAAGTCAGTCAAATTTCGCTAGAGCAAGCTATCCCTTCTCACAGTCTCGCTAAAAATAGAAGTATATACAGTAAGGGGGGTCTAATCCTGATTTGTTAAAACAAAGGGGGTCTATTACAAAAGTGCATATAGCATTAGAACCCCCCCCCCCCCCCCCCATTTAACGACCCGGGGGTCTATAATTTTGGGGGGTCCATTACCCGGGTAAATACGGTATCATGTTGCGGTATGGAGATTTTTAGGCTGTTTCCAACAGGCTACGAAGAAAATTACCCTAAGGGTCAGGGTACTGGGGGGCTGGAACCCTGATTTCTCAAGGTGGGCCAAAACCAATTTTGGGCCCTGCCCCACACAGCCCCGTGGCCATGGTTCCTTTGTTGAGTACAAGTATGTGCGCAATTGTTACCTGCGTGCGTGCGTCACATGTCAAATCATTTACACGTTTCACAGGCCACATGCGTGCGTGAGTCACATGTCAAATCATGTTTTGATAAGACCACTGGAAATTGAACAAATGTTATATTACTCCTCTTGATTCAGATTCTCCCTCCACTTTGCAAGCAATTGCTCTGTAGTGGGTCGATGAGCCCAGTCACTCTGAATCGCATCTCGCATCATACCCACCAGAACCTCAGCTTGCTCCCGCGTCCATTGCCCCTCAAGTTTTCTGTCGAACACCTCGGCATAATCCGCGCACGCGAGATCCCGCGATAGTAATTCTACTCCTGGAAAAAAATCGTCCAGCACACCGCGCCCTGAGACGAGCTCTAGCAGGAAAACGCCAAAGGCGTAGGTGTCGCAATGCATTGTTAAGAAGCCTGGAGTGGAGAAAGGGTGGGAGAGAAACCGGGATACACGGATGGGGGTCTTGAGAGGTCTCATAACTTGGGCACCGGATGGATCGGTGTGAGGAGTTACGAGATCAAGAGCCTCATTACGAGGTGGTTCATTATAAGTTGTTTCATTGCAAGGCAGAATTAAATGAACAGGAGGAAAGAGGATGAAGACTGCAAGAGTCAACTGCAGAATTCGAATTCTATATATGCAACAGGCACTGCCAGGACAGAAAGGTCACCATGAAGCTTCTGGGTTCAGCTGATGCACGAAGTGCGTGCGAGGGCACTCGGTTTGCAAGGGGATGAATGTGAGCAGCAGGGATACACGGGGTTGGGTGTGTGCGAGGGTGTCCACATCGAAAGGGGTGAGTCCATGAATTGCAAATGACACAATGACAGCAGAGGGGGGTGCTGGGAAAACGACTCTTCATTGACAGCACCTCGCACATTTTGCACTAAACAAGACGTGCCAAGAGCCAGCTCACTTTTCTCCGCATGAGAAATTTCTGAGAAAGACAACTTCTGGAGCAGCTGACCTTGCTGATTGTAGTTTGAGAGTACCGTGAACATACCTGACCCAATTCTCACACGAGGCATATCTGGCCCAATTCTCACACGAGGCATTCTTGACCCAATTCTCACACGAGGCATTCCTGACCCAATTCTCACACGAGGCATTCATGACCCAATTCTCACACGAGGCATTCCTGGGCCATGCTCACAGGAGGAGGTAGACCACACAGCCAACGCTATATGAGACTGTGAATACACGCAGCGAGAGGGACAGCCAATGCACTAACTCACCTCTCATAAGCAAAGCACGCTGGGTCCATATTGCCCTGTGTCATGTGACAGGCAGAACGATTTCTGTGTTGACTAAAAGTTTGTCTCACGACACATGCAACGCGGCGGCTCACCTCTCTCAACGCACTCCGGTCTGGGTCCATATAGCGAGGTGACTCTTCATGCGACTCTACAGTCGCAAATCCGTGTAGCCTTGAGGCATGACATGACACAGCCAGAACCACGCAGCACGCCGGCTCACCTCTCTCAAAGTAGTACGGATCCATATATAAAGCCCAGCGACCCAGCCAGCACATGCAATGGAACACATGTGCTCACCCTTCCCACACTAGGCTGGCTGGGACCTTGTTGCCCAGCCCATGACCTAGTCAGAACACACACCACGCCGGCTCACCTCTCTCAAAGTATGAAGGGTCCATATAGCCCAGCGACCCAGCCACTCTCGTTGTGACATGTGTCTTGTCCTGGCAAGCCTTGGCCAATCCGAAATCCGCCACCTTGGGAACGAGCGTCTGGAAACACGCATATTGAGTTCAAGAACAAGAAACAGCAGGTGGGCGATGTGTTATTGTTTTGACACGCCATGGGCTAATATGAACGTAGATCTGATCCGGCATGCATTGGGATCCCAATTCCACTACTGTGGGAATGAGTGCTAGGAGAAACACGTAGTTGCAAAGTAAGAGGAAACAGAGAATGGTTGAAGCTAGTCAAGGCCTGCAACATCTGTTGTGCTTTGCCTTTGCTGGTCAAACTTGCCATGTGAGGAACACCGAGACAGTCTTGAAACATGTTAATCCAGCAGAGGGGGGTTTGTGGGTAATGAGACGGTTCTTGAGGCTTGAAAATCTGTGGAAAGGCAAGCAAGCATCCCAAATCTCTACATTTGTGATTCGAGCATCCCGAGGTGAAACCACGATGATGTGGTTTGAACTGTTTTGTGAGTGTGCTCTCAGGTAGACTAACGCACACAAATGTGACCAGGCTTGTATTTTGAGTTGGCCAAAAACTTGTTTCGAAACGTTTGGTGGGTGCTCTCTCTAATTTGTGCAACAAACCTTGGTAAGATAGAAGCACATCACAGGAGCCCACCTTTGTTATAGGCACATCACAGGAGCCCACCTTCGTTATAAGCACATCATAGGAGCCCACCTTCGTTAGAAGCACATCATAGGAGCCCACCTTCGTTAAAAGCACATCATAGGAGCCCACCTTCGCTAGAAGCACATCATAGGAGCTCACCTTCGTTAAAAGAACATCATAGGAGCCCACCTTCGTTAAAAGAACACCATAGGAGCCCACCTTCGTTAGAAGCACATCATAGGAGCCCACCTTCGTTAGAAGCACATCATAAGAACCCACCTTCGTTAGAAGCACGTTGGCGGCCTTGAAGTCGCGGTGGATGAATCCCTCCCTGTGAATGGCGGCCAGCCCCTCCAGACTCCCCCTGGCAATGCGCAGCCGCTCCTTCCAGGGGAAGGGCTCTGTACCTTTGGCAGCTGCTTGCGCACACATGGGAAGCGGGAGTGGAAGGGAGCAGGGGGGTAGGGTAGGGTGAGAGAGGGACTTTTGTGAGCGAGCGCACACGCAAGGAATTTGGAGCACGATTCATGCGAGTTTCTCCGCCCCAATGATCGCTGCTAATGGAAATCTGTTGGAAGAGAGAGGTGGGCTGTTTATTCATGCCACTGTGGCCACACCCTCTAGTGCTTGCGAGCAGAGAGGGTGGGAAGGGAGGGGAAGGGGGAGGAGGGGAGCATAGGAAGAAGGGAATATGCCTATGCTTGTCCCGATCTGCTAGGCTCAACCCACCTGCTAGGCTCGATCTCACCTGCTAGGCTTGTCTCATTTCCCATCACAGAAAACGCTGCGTCCTTTCACACCCGCAGGCCCGTCATTGTGTAGTAAACAATACACCATCACATTGCATGGCACCGCATCACACCGCACGACATCTGACGACACAACACTACTTCTCTTGGTGCGCTGGGAAGCATCCCCGCCTGGGACTAAATCGGAGACCATGGTAAGGGTACGCGTCACTATGTGTGTGCACGTGCCCACCGCATTCCACCTTCCCATACCTCTCTTTATTCGCTGGGAAACATCCCCGCCAGAGATGAACTCAAAAAAGACCATGGCAAGGGTTCGCCCTATCATGTGTGCAAATGCCCACCCCATTCCACCGCATTCCACCCTCCTGTACCTTTCTGTAATCGCTGGGAAACATCCCCCCCTGGGACGAACTCAAGAGACCATGGCAAGTTTTCGGCCCATCAAAGCCATTCCCAGCACGCGCAGAACGTTGGGATGGTGCAGCGCCGTCATCATCATGATCTCTGTCTGAACAAGGGGGGGATGGCGGAGAAGAGAAGGGGGGAGGCATCAAGACCATGATTCGAAAGGGGGGTACGAAAGGGGGTTTCGAAAGGGGGGTACGAAAGGGGGTTTCGAAAGGGGGGTACGAAAGGGGGTTTCGAAAGGGGGGTACGAAAGGGGGTTTCGAAAGGGGGGTACGAAAGGGGGTTTCGAAAGGGGGGTACGAAAGGGGGTTTCGAAAGGGGGGTCTGATGGTTGACGCCATCAAGCCAGCCGTAGAATGCTGGGATGGTGCAGTGCCGTCATCATCATGATCTCCGTCTGATGGGGAGAGAGGGAAGTGAGGTGAGGAGAGGTGCGGTGAGGTGAGGTGAGGAGAGGTGAGGAGAGGTAAGGTGAGGTGAGGAGAGGGGGGCTGAAAGAAATGTTATACATGGTGCAGAGGTGTCATCGTTATGATCTCAGTCTGATGGGGGAGAGGGAGGCGCGGGCGTGGGGGGTTGAGAGGCAGTGTTGAAGTTAAATGGTGAATTTAAACCGTGCTGGTCCGTGATGATCATTACTCTCATCAGAGCAAATGGGGAAGGGAAAGGGGAAGGAGTAGGGGAAGGCGAACCAGAAGGGACAAGGAATGAGTGCTGAAATTCCTGAGTGTCGGGGCGAGCGATTGAGAGGGACTAAGAGGAGAGAGGGAAGATGCTAGGAACTTACCAGGTAGGTGCTCATGTGTAACCCTCTCGTGGCCATTACTCACCAGCAGCTGCTCTCTTGCGCCGCTCTCCACATCGTCTGTCAAGCACAACTTCACCGCCACCGGAACAAACTCCATCCCACCCACTTCCACCACTTCCAAACCTTCAATCCCCATTCCCCCTTCCGCCTCGCTCTCCTCCCCTTCGTCCCCTTCCCCATCCCATTCCCCCCCTTCTCCTTCTTTCCCTCCCCCGCCTTCTCCCCCTCCCCCTCCTCGTCCTCCACCCCCTCCCCCTCCCCCTCTCCTTTCCCCTTCCCCTTCCCCATTCTCCCCGTCCTCCCCGTCCTCCCCGTCCTCCCCGTCCCCGCCCCCTCCCCCTTGCGGCAGCAGCAGCATGCCCTTGTAGACGGCGCCGAAGCCGCCTTCCCCCAGCTTGGTGCGCCAGCCGCCCGTCGCCCGCCGCAGCTCCTCCTACGAGTACCGCGGCAGCGCGCCGTCCCCCCCCACCGCGCGCATCATCACGGGCTTTAATTTATCATCTTTTGGGCGGATGGAAGGTGGGGTGTGGGGGGAAGGAGGGGAGGGGGGTGAAGTGGGGAGGGGAAGGGGATGAGATGAAGGGAAATAAGAAGGGAGGCGGGAGGGGGATTGTGGAGGGGACTAGGGTGTGAGGGTGTGGGGCATTGCCAGTGCGCCAGTCGCCTGAATCCCGCCGCAGCTCCTCCTGCGAGTACTGCATCAGCATGCCCTCCGCTCCCACCGCAGAGGGGAAAGGGGAGAGGGGAGAGGGGAGAGGGGAGTTAGGTCAAATGACAAATGGCGGCACGGGGCCATGATGGTACTCGAGGAAGGGCCATGGAGCATGGACAGATGGCCCTTCGCAAGTACCGTGAAGCGTGTCGTCCGCCAACCACTGCCCGCATCACGGGGTTGGGGGGGGGAGAGGGGGGAGAGGAGGGGGGGAGGCGCTGCATGCCACGCGCGCGCATCAGGAATGAGAGGCGGAAAGGTGGGTAAGTTGGAGAGGAAGAACGGGGGGAAGGTTGAAGGAAAATCGGTAAAATCCTTATCTATCCTGCGAGTACCGCGGAAGCATGATGCAGTCACCACCCCACCGCCTTCATCATCACGGGGATGGCTATTGCAAACGATCAAACGTTGGAGTCGACTCAGAAGTCGAAAATTCCGCGGTATTATACCACGGCGGAAGCATGACGCAGTCCTACACGGAGGAAATTATGCTTCCGTGGTGCGGAGTCCGCACCCACCGCCCTCCTCATCCGATGGCGAGTCGCCACGGGGATGGCGAGTCGCCATGGGGATGGCGATTGTTAAACGATGAACACGAAGTGGAATTTCTTTCGTCTGAAGTGAAACGAAGTAGTAAGCCAACTGAATTTAACGTTGAAAGAGAAGTAAGTGACGTCGCAAATAAAGTTTCAACCCGATGACCCCGGGAGAGTCCCGGATTCATAGGTCGGACTCAGGTCAGGTCTTCGATTGGGTCCCATCGGGAAACCTAAATTCCGCGACCAATCCCTGGAGAGTCAATTGTGTCAAAAATGGGTCACCCCGAAGTAGTCATATCATGGTAGGACCCGGGTAAGAAAGACGAATCTGACGCCGGAGTGAGTTTCAAGGACAATTATGAACCAATTTCATCGAAAACCTCGGGTAGAGTACGTTTTATAATACGAGCTTGTCGTAACTCACCGTTCGCGCCAGAAAAGCAGCAAAACAAACCCATCTTGATGTTTCCGCAGTTATTTTCCCAAGCAGAGAGCAGTTCAGGAGCAGCTCCCAATTATTTCTGTTATTAACTACGAAAATGTCGTCTCAATTCGAGCCTTGTAAACGATGACCTTGAGACTCGCGTTCCGAGAAATCTGATAGAAATGAGGGAAAAGCTTCGGATGTGGAACGTGTGGATGCAAATGCATTGGATTGTGAAACAGCGAGGGGTGACAGAGCGTGCTTGCTGGGGGAAATGCATGTTCGAAGCCATGATGACGTTTCTAACTGTCACGCATGCCCCACCATTGGCTACAACCTGCAATGGCATGACTGTCATGGCCCAGCAATGTCGGCCTACTATGTTCTGAACTTGTGACTACGTGCACGTACACAGTACAGTACACGCAGCTCATGACCAAGCTGTGTGGTTTGGGCGAGGCGATGAGATTGGAACGGAATAAGACATTTCTGTTGGTCTTGGATTTCTTCGTGCTGGCGTTGTGTTGACTTCTCGGACCATGCTGATTGGACATTGAAAAGCGGGTAGGTTAACATGCGTAGCTGTCTCCCCTTGGCCCAAATCCGCTAAGAATAGGCGGAAGGCTTTAGCGGGGCCCGGAAGATGGAGTGGGGAAAAAGTGAGGTACTACACAAACGGTATTCAACAAGATTTGATTCTAAATGTTCAATATTCCGTTTATTGTAAGGAATGTAAAGCATGCATCTTCAAAGGCCTTTCAGCTGTTTCAAGCCATGTGGTAGAGGAGGCATGAGCGCATTGATAGGGCACTCCCGAATCACGTTGATGTTTCGGCTATACCCGTCAGATCAGAACACAAGTCATCACTTGGTTATGCCAGGGTGGGGCATGTGGCACGGGTGCTTCTCCCGCTTGTCTCCTTTAAGCTGCTTCAAGCCATGCGGTAGATCCGACATGAAGGCAGCCAGGCACTCTGAAACCATGTTGGGTTGGCTGGCAGGTTGAGGATCTGGGGGGGTCACATGGTGGGTGGGTGGGTCGGGTCAAGTGGAGGGATGAAGAGGCACTTGTACCGTATTAGCATGTTGGGTGGGTGGGGCAAAGGAAGGGAATAAGAGGCGGCAGTGAAAGCATAAGAGCAGCTAGGCACTCTGAAATTGCACTGGGGTTGCCTGATAGTTTGCCCATTTCACTGTGCATCATGCACCAATGCACCCATGCACGCTGCACCCATGGGCACACCTCACCAGAGTGGACCCCCTAATGCCAGCCATGCACACTTGCATTCTGCACCTATCCAGCCACCCATTCCACTGTGCAGCAAGCACCCATGCATGCCACCTTACCAGAGTTGAGCCTCTATTTTCTGCAACCATGTGCAAAAGCGCGTGATCTGCAGGGGGGAAACGAGAAGAAAGAGCAGAGGGAAAAACAGACAAGCACCAATGAGAGAGCGAGATAAGTGGCACAGGGAATGGACTTGTCATGTCACTCTATGTGTTGTCAAGTCTGATCCCCCCCCCCTCTCCCCCCTTAATTCCCCACCCCTCCCCTCTCTTGAGAAGAAAAATACAAAAAATAACTTACTCTTAGGCTCTATTGCAGCATGGCATGGGTGACGCTCGGTGCAGAGCGATGGAAGAGCGGTGCACAGGCTTCAGGAGTGACATCCCTAGGTGGAATTTCGTGCCCCCTGTCATTGTTATCACATCCACTGCTGCCACACCCGCTGTCTCGGCAGTTGACTCAGAAATCTCATCCCCATCTGCCCATGCCTTGACCTGCCTGCACTGCTACCTTGTCTGGGTCATCTGGAACCACTACTGTTGTTACCACTGCTGCTGCTCGCAGGAACGATTGCACTGCCTGGACTTCCCTGGGGCCACTGAGTGAAGCGGGATTTGAGAAGAGGGGATGGAGGGAGGTAAGGAGTGAGGGATGGAGGGGGGGAGGAGGAGGATGCATCTAGGTGATTTTTAAAGCAGGAATGGTAGAAACGTCTCAAGGCACCTTCATGAATTTGGCGGCCAACGTCTGTTGAACCTGGCGTCGGCTGTTAATCCTGCCGCCGCCGTCTCACTGGCAGTCAGGATCGCCACTCGTACACCCGGAGAGGCATCAGCAGGAGAGGCAGCAGCAGCAGGTGGAGAGGCAGCAGCAGCAGCCGCAACAGTAGGAGCGTAAGCGGCACCAGCGCTTTGCTTATGCCCACGCCCTTTCCCATGGTCATGCCCATGGCTGCACCCTCACCCATGCGTCTCCCCCTCCCCTCCCTCCCCTCCCCCTCTCACAGCCACCGTCTCTCCAGTCCTCCCCACTGCCATCGCAGGAACCGTGAGGCACGCAGCGGCATCAGGCAGAAACAGCGCAGAGAGGACGGAGCCAGCAGGGAAGGAGCCGTGTGCCTGGAGCAGCTCTAGAAAGCAGTGGGCAGAGCGCATGGAGAGCAGCCTGCTGCTTATCTGCCTCCCTGTGCTGTCTGCTCTGAACCCAGACAGAGCGGCGCCAGAGGGAGAGCAGCAGCAGTAGACCCAGCGGAAGAGGGAAGAGAGGCAGCAGAGGAGGCAAGAGCAGCAGGCACGTTGGGCTCCCAGCGGAGGGATGCTCCGTGATACTCAGGGCGGTCAAAGTCCAGACGGAGAGCAGAGGAGATGTGAGCCTGCACCTGGGAACAGGGGGATGAGAGGGGTGCAACGAGGTGAAACTGACGGATAGCGAGCAGCACAAACAGGTTCAATGCTTTATGAGGCGTCTCAAGAGTCGTTTCCCTCCCCCTTGGCCCATTCTCCTCCCCCTCGCCTCCTTCCCCTTCCCCCTCCCATTCCGCTCCTTACATACGCAGCAGGGGATGACGCCACCCCCCCATCTGACGAATAGCGGGCAGCACAAACAAGTTGAAGCACACATGCAGCTGACTGGATTCCCGGGCAGCCCGAATACAATCGTTCGGTGCGGCTGGGCGGCGCTGTCCGTTTTATCTGAAGGGGTTTCGATGGTTGCAAAGGTGAGTGGTTTTCCCGGCTTCATGTGTACCTGTTATACAGGAGGGGGGAGGGAAGGAAAAGGAGAGAGGAGGGAAAGGGGGGAGGAAGGAAGGTAGGGGAAGGATGGAAGGCACGACGGTCAGCGGCTCTTCTGACAAGAGGAGAAACAGACAGAAGGGAGGAAAAGGAGCGGAAGGAGGGAGCGTAAGAAGCACTCGGCTGGCCTAAGTGAACAGTCCTAAGCTTCTCCAGCAGCGGCTCGACAAAGTCCCTATCGCCCATGGACGACCAGACGCCACCACCACATCTGCCCTCGCTGCTAGTACCTAGCATCGCTCTCACTGGCGCGCTTCTGCGCGCGAATCCAGAAAAGGGAAAACCCACCAGTGCGTTTCAGCCGTCAGATTTAGATCTGAAAAAATATTTCATAAGTTACCGCCATCGAAGTATCGCGCTCCTGCGCGGCGGTTTTCAATCCACGCTTAAAGCCAGGGTCTCACGTACTACAAGTGCTTTGCAATTGTTGGTGAAAGTGTGGCTTTGATTGGTTGGCGAGGTGTAAGGTTCGAAGTGGGGTAAAGCGAGGGGTGCGCAGCGAAAGTAAATCGCTGGGGGCAACCGAACCATCTAGGCTTGGAAACTTGGTTTGGAGCCAAACCTAAAATGCCCCCAGCTCATCGAAAGTCTCGAGTACCCAAAAGTGTTGTGCAATTGCTTTTGGGGCAGTGACGCAAGCTGAGTTTCCAAACCAACCAGAGACAACTTCGCCAGCACTAACTTGGTTACCTACCTTCAAGTGCTTTACAGTCGATGGCTCCTTAGCTTACATGAGACCCTGGCTTTAAGTGTAGTCAGAGTACACCGATATGTACCCTGTAAAAACCTAATGAACCGTGCGGAATGCCTACTGCTTCCCAAGCGTGGTTCGCTCTTTGTTCATCGAAAGTGGTTGAGTGCGATGTTGTACAATGTAAAGCAGCTCGTTTTCTTTACTGCTTTGAATCGCTCGGTACTCACCAACGCGAACAGTGTTCCACTTTCTGTAAACGAACTCAATTATAATGCGCTCAGCGGTGAACAAGTCATGTTCTACAAGGAAACCTTGCTGGAGGATCACGCTGAACTCAAATGACACAAACCATCTCGGAATCTGGTTTAGCCTACTTGTCGCAAATTAGTAATCATGGAGAGAAGACTATCCTCTCAAAGCACATCAGGAATGACGTCAGAAGGCTCTGTGGCGGAAAGAGTGGGCTCCATTCCTCGTTCTAGCCAATCGATGATCAGAAGTTATTTGAAAGGTTCATATTACTGCCATTTGCCAACCCTAGTTGCATCCACCTTCGTGCTGTCCCTTTTGGTTTTTGTTGTCGATAAGTCGAACGTAGGTCAAGCTCCAACAGGGAAAGGCTTGAATATGGATCCTCGCAGTGTCAGCTACTCTCATCGGCGCTCCCTAACCCAAACTGACCACGCTGAGCTGATGAACCGTCATAATAAGTTAAACTATTCAGAAACACCTTTGCCGAAGGACTTTCCAAAGGCGTTGACACCAGTTTCCAATATATTCATGTTTGACGATGGCACCGTTATTCCAGCTCAAGAGCGGCAACATTGCGAATCCCTCATTCTGGCAGCTATGGAATGCAAAGAGTCAGGTACGCCAGACCCTCCGGTACGCTAACAACTTCGACTCTGGTCCATTCTTCTATAAATCCAAACCATTCAATGCAGGGGTTATTGTTGAGCTTGGAGCTTGGGCTGGCCAATATTCCAGGTGCCTTGCTGCTGGACTCTACATGGCTGGCAGACATAACGAGGGAAGGCTCTTCTCATTTGATACATTCAAGGACTCTTCACTCCGGGAGAAAATGGATTTGGAGAGCCAGCTCTTAAGAGCTCTCTCTGAGGCGACAGATCTGGATATTATGGGAGATCGCACCAGCTATAACGACATGTCTGGTGTTAATTATATGGAGGATTTGGTGCTGCCTGATATACCAACACCTGATCCTGGTGTTGGCCGAAAACTTCTAAACAAGGCGAAGACGATGGCTAAGTTATTGCGAAAAGGCGAAATTACACCTGATAAGCTGAGGAACTCAGGGCTGGCCGCTCGAAACGGATCGGAAAAGAATCTGAAACTCGATTTTTTCGGAAACGAGACTTTGTTCAACAAGCAATTGGCTCTTCGGTATGACTTGCCGCTCACCAAGCCTTGCAAGTCCATGAAGACTCATGGGGTTGGAAAGAGCATCTTGGCAATTTGGCAAGCTGCGGTTCTTCCTGTTGATCCGAGTGCCACGCCTGTTCCTGGCTTATATTCGGAGGTTCGACTTGTTTTGACAGATTCTCGCTCATGCTGCTGTTCTGACCATTGTCTTTCGACAGGTGTTGAAGCCCGAGGCTTGGGAGAAACGGCCTATTGATGTTCTTGTCCTTCATGGAGGTTCACGGCTTTCTACTTTGGTGCACCAGGTATTCCTGCTGCGAGTTGGTGTTGTGATTTCCGCCTGGACTTGATCTTATCCCAAAACAGCTCGCGTTGGCAGGGCCGTTCCTTCACAAAGGAAGCATTTTAAGCGTTTTGGGTTTTGCTCGTTCTGCATTGGTATGTGGTGCACATGTATAGAATGTTGATTCATTCAGCTAACCGCGATACAATCACGCCTGTGCAGGTCGAGGCATTCTTTCAGCACCTAATTCCTAATTTTCTTGAAATTCGTGCGATTGACTTGTGTGGTGTCTCATGGACCTTCACTCTAAGGAAAGACCATCTGGTGTTGTTTGAGGCACGAGGATCATACCAGGTCTGTTGTTATGTTACCTATTCAAACGTTGGTTTCATTGTGCAGGTCATATGTTGACTGGAACATCTTGCACTCATATCGACCATCAGGAGAGCAGAATCACTGGGAAAAGGTGGTTGCTTCGACTGATAAGTTTCTGAAAAATAGCGGAGAATACAACCAACAGTTTCTTGAGTGTACTCTGGACATCTTGGGAGCAAGGTATGCAACGCATGTCTCGTGGGTCTCTGTTCTTGCTTTTTGAAGACTTATTTTGCACTGAGCAGGTTCGACAGAGCCGAAGCATCACTGCAAAGTATGTGAGTGAGACATCACCGTATCTCAGCTTTCTGGGCGAGATGACCTGGTAGCACGGATTGGACCACCTTGTTGTACTAATTTATTACCGTAATTTCTTTCATTGCTAGTTGATGTGCCCTCCCTTGTACATTTTTTTCTGTCTAATCACCACGACCTTTTAAATGGCGGATACAGTGCAAAGCAATATATTTCAGATGTGTCTCCAGAGGTATCTCTTTTGGAACTTGAACCTCACTTGCCTTTCCCGTACCCATGCCTCCCCCCTCTTCCTCCTCCACCTTCCCCCCTTTCGTCTCCTCCTCCTCCTCCCCCGCCCTCCTCCCCCTTCCCTCCATTATCCCTTTCCTCTGCATTTAATCACCCCCAGCTTTGGTTTCTTTTGCTCTATTTGATGTCAACTTGTTCCGTTCTCCCTGCGTTTGAGCATTTCTAGCACACACATGCATCTGAATGCATCGACATAGCCGTTGTGGTAGTACAACCATTTTTCCCTATCTATGGGATGGACCCAAGACTCAAACCATCGGTGCGAAGTTTGTGAGACATTGTCCTGTCCTGGCCTTTTAGCCTCGAGACACAGTAACACACCATTGAGAAGTCCAGCAGCAAGACCAAAATTTCCCCAGGTCTTCTCCTTGGACTCCTCTCAAAGTCTTGCAAAGGACTTGCGGCTAGCTGTTTGCGCGACCAGTACCATACCGTCATCGCCCGGATATAAGACAGTGTCGAATTGAAGACATGGGGCGTCGTTAAAACGGGTGTTTCTTATAGATGGGTGTTCCTGATTATAAGACAACTGTCGGTGTGTACGAGTTAGGCCAGTATAGGGATTAGGGGCAATCTTATGACTAGGGGGTATCTTCTAAACGGTTTTTTGTCCATTTATAAGAATTATAAGACACCCTCAACCATCCCAATTACAAGACACAGCAAGCTTTTTTTCTAATGTATAAGATAAGACATATATGTCTTCTATCCGGGCGATGACGGTATGCAATTTGAATCTCACGATGTAAAAGAAACGGACCCCAACCAACCAATGTTCTGTCTGCTGCAAGGCAGGGAAACTGCTGTGCTAACACTGACAGAGGCCTGAAATGGATGCATGACATAAGCTAGGCAGCATCACATCCTACCATACTTGGCTTCTGACTGGTGGTCAAGGTCAAGGATATTCTCTGCATTTCCCAGGTTACCGGCTGTAGCTTGCAACATCTGACAATCTGAAGTTGCTCTGTTGTCAACAAGACTGCGGTGGTTCCATGACATGGTGTGAAATACTACTACCATGTATGGTTAGTCCTGAGAATTATCCAATATGTTTTCTATATAAAAGAACCGTTGAGAACCGTACAAAAAAGCAAATTGGATAAATGTGTGAAATATCTGCGGTAGCTAGCAACTATTTGAGAACCGTTGCTAGCTACCGCAGATATTCCAAATACCGGTAGGGGATTGCATCAAGGTACCGGTACCAGTACAGTACAAATGCGACTCGGAAGCAGTGTGCATGCCATTTCACACCTCACGCTGGGTGTGGAAAAGAGGTTTAGTGCACCGGATGCCTCCATTTGTAGATCTCATGTAAACTGAAAGAACACCATCTTACATCACATACAAGTACTACCACGTACTACCCCCATACAGCACAATACCGTATCATGAACCGACACAGCCCAGTACAGTTCAGCATAGAACATGCTAACTGGTTTCACCTGCAGAGACAAGGCAGGAAACAAGAGCATCCAGCGGCCCTAAGAGCTCATCCGGTTGATCGCCTTTTTGGAGCCTGATGCAAACCGCTGCTTGATGCAGTCTTGCCACAGCGCCAGCTGCAACCATGGCACGTGCAGCTTTGTCTGAACCAGAAATAATGCCAGGGTTTAGACAGATAGAATGCCAAAATAATTAGAAATAGCTGAACCAAGCTGTCATGTTCTGATCATGTTATAGATGTCGAGAAAGGAGGTGCGAATCGTTAGCCCGATGTAGAGTATTGAGTGAAAGAGGAGGCAGCAGAGTGGGTGCTTAAAAAAGTCAAGGGGTGGGAGAAGATGAAAAGAGATGCAACAGAGAGAGGGAGAGCAAGTACCTGAAGAAGCTCCTGAAGAAGCAGCGCCTATTTATGTTAGACAAGGAAAGCTCGCCTGAACAAACCAGGTGGGTGAGGACTCACCTGTGTGGCTACCTCAAAAGCACCTGTGCTCACCTGACCGAGCCAGGTGGGTGAGGACACAGGCACCTGTGCTTCTACCTCAAAAGCACCTGTGCGGCTACCTCAAAAGCACCTGAGCTCACCTGACCGAGCCAGGTGGGCGAGGCAGGTTAGTGCTTCCTTGACCGTGCGCCTCTCCGGAGGAGAGAGCGGAGGAGGAGGGGAAGAGGAAGAAGCAGCGCCTGTTGAAATTGAGGCGAAAAGCTCACCTGACTGAGCCAGATGTGTGAGGCAGGAGAGTGCTTCCTTGACCGTGCGCCTCTCAGAAGACGAGAGAGGAGGGGGGGAGAGTGGAGGGGCAAGAGGAGGAGGGCTTGCAAGAGGAGGCGCGGACGAATGAGGGGTAGATTCAGTGTGGTGAAAAGGGGATTCGAGGAGCAGCAGGAGGTGCGGAAGGGCTCCGGCTTCCATGATTTTCATGCGAGTCTCATCTGGTGGGGGAGAGAAGGAAGGAACAAAGAGGAGCAGGGAGAGCGCAGCAAGGTCAATCAAATGCATTAGGTGCCAAAGGGCTTGAGATGGATGAGGCAAGGGAAAGATCTGCTAGTCTTACTCGCACTATGTTGGACTTTCATACAATCAGCTGTGCTGGCAGGCAGGGACGTTTGAGGCAGCCACAGGCACTTTGGGTTTTGGGTCAAACTTGGTATTTTTTTGGGTCGAAAAAAAGGGTTCTGGGTAGGAACTTGGCTTTCGGTCCAGAACTTGGCTTTTGGTTAAGAACTAGGCTTTTGGTTAAGAACCTGGCTTCCGTGTAAAATCTAGGCTACTGGGACAAAACACGGACCTTTAAGGCAGAACTTGGCCCTTAAGTCAAAACTCGTTTTCTGGGGCAGAACTTGATCTTTGGGTAAAAGCTTGATTTTGGGTCAAAACTTGGTATATGGGTCAAACTGGTATTTGGGCCAAAACTTGGTATCTGGGTCACAGCTTGGGTATGCTCGTTCCCTGGCTTTTGTGTCAAAGCTGGAGCTCACCATTGGAAGCAATGAAGGCGAGGCGGTACGCTCCTGATCGCCGGAGGAAAGGGTCCTTGGCCCTGAGGAGAGCGACTGAGTGGCGGATGAGCGAGTCTCCTGGGAGTGTGGAGGGGTGGAGGAATGGGGACGGGAAACCGGGTGCATATAAGCATCGACAATATCCCATGAACTGAGATGATACTCACATGAACTGAGATGATACTCACATGAACTGAGATGATACTCACATGAACTGAGACGATACTCACATGAACTGAGATGACACTCACATGAACAGAGATGATACTCACATGAGATTAGATGACACTCGTGAATCAGCTGAGAGGGCTCCCATCATATGAGCTGAGATAGCTGAGATGACACTCACATGAGCTGAGAAGACACTCACATGAGCTGAGATGACACTCACCTGAGATGACACACACATGAGCTGACATGACACTCAAATGAGCTGATAGCGTATTCCTATCCTCGTATCAAGAGAACCTCATATCAAGATTGTACTTTTTGCCTGGTAAAACTAGCGAGAGGTTTCGGGTTTAGGGGAATTTTCAGTGGGAAGTTGATATGAGGTTCTCTTAATACGAGGATAGGAATACACTCTGAGATGACACTCACATGAGCTGAGATGACACTCACATGAGCTGAGATACTCACATGAGCTGAGATGACACTCACATGAGCTATGACACTCACATGAGCTGAGACGACACTCACATGAGCTGACATGAAACTCACATGAGCTGAGATGAAACTCATACGAGCTGAGATGACACTCACATGAGCTGAGATGACACTCACATGAGCTATGACACTCACAGGAGCTGAGATGACACTCACACGAGCTGAGATGACATTCACTCACCCATGAGTGGAAACGCGTTGATGGCGACCCCAACAATGGTGGCAGCAACAATGAGCTTAAAGCCCCAGTGCGACCGCCACCCCAGATTTTCCTCGTCCATTGACTCGTATTCCTCCCTCTCCCCTCCTTTCCCCTTGCTCCTGCTATCCTCCTCCCCTCTCTGCTCCCCACTGTTCTTGCACTCCTGTTTGTTACTTGTACCACCCTCTCCCTGCTCCCCTTTTTTGCCCCCCTCTTTCACTCCGACTGATCGCGCCTTCTCTGCGTCCAGCGAGCTGGTGCTCACGATGCTGGTTACCAGACGCCTCTGCTGGCCAAAAAGCAGACTTTCGCAACCTGCTTCGCCATTCACGATTCTGGTAACCACTGAGCTCTGTCGTGACAGGGAGACAACAGAGGGTGTCGCCGCAACGCTGGATCTTCTGTCTAGATGTTGTCTTGCGAGCCGGGGACCTACTCTAGTCCAGTGGCAAGACTCCTTCGCCTCGACACGCCACTGCGCGTGCGGAGAGCTGTGGCGGCGGAGATCAGACGCGGGGATGCAACCAGAGAGGCCTCGATGGTCCGCTGGTCCTCCTGCTCGCGTTTTTGTGTCGCATGATCGAGCAACAGCGGCCAAAAGCGGTGCTCCTGCTCCCTCCCTTGCCCCCTCTCTTGCTTCCTCGGCCCCGTGAGCAGAGCTTCCAAGCCGCTCACACGCCGCAGGAAGATCGACGGATGTCTGAGGCCGAGGAGCGCAGAGACGATCTGATCCGTTCACAGGAAGCTCACAAACCCCTTGCAGCGACGCGCGAACGGAATCGGAAAAAAGGCGCTTTGTTACGGAATATGAGGATAAGTTAACGAGAGATCGGTCTACGAGATCGACCGCCTGCCTGCTCTGGGTGCATGTTCGGCGAGAGATTCTCGCAGCAGCCATGGATCCAAGGCGACAGCAACCATTTCAAAACCAGAAAACCACCTGGTCGAGAACATTTCAGGCCATGGTTAAAGACGTGTACTAACGGGAAGATCTTCAGACGTTCATATTGCTTAGGGCATTTTCCTATCCTCCTATCAAGAAAACCTCCTATCAAGCTCTCACTGGAAAATTCCCTAAACCCAAAATCTCTCGCTACTTTTACCAGGCAAAAGGTACAATCTTGATAGGAGGTTTCTTGATAGGATGCCGTAGGAATACGCCCTGAGTTTCTCTGTAACTGCAAAGTGACATACGCAGAGAGAACTCGATCACCAAATTAAAAATTATGCGCGCAAGTGACAACGGCGTTCTGCGAGTGCAAGTTCGCAATTATCTTCTCAAACTCGTACCTGGTAACCTTCTGGAACTGTTTCGTGTCGACGGACGACAATAATTCGTGTTACTTCAAATGGCGCTAGGCAAGTGGTCAGTTGTGGTGGTAAAGGTTTGCCTGCAACCTGAGAGAACTCTGCAGGAGAACCTAGGGACCTCGTTTGCGCGCATGGAGCAGATGGGCGCGGGGCTCTCGGGGCAGCAGCTGCCGTGCGTGCGCACGGGCGTGGCGTTGGAGACGCAGCTGCGGAAGATTGTGAGTGACACCGACATACTCGCCATCGAAACAGGGGTGAGTACTATGAGGTCTTGCTTAGTGTTTTAAAGTGGTGTGGATTGGTGTGACTGTGAGTGAGGGGTTGGACGTCCGAGGAAAGTGGTGAATTGACCCAGCGGTCAATGGGAGATGCAGTTGAGGAAGATTGTGAGCGACACCGACATGCTTGCCATCGAACAGTGGTGAGTGTGGGAGGGGAGTGGGGGAGTTAGTGAGTGCAGAAGCGAGCGAGGGAGCGAGTGAGGGAGTGGGGTTCTGAGTGGGTGAAAGGGCGTGGGGGGATGAGGGGGGCAAGCATTGGATGGGCTGGCGTACTCATTTGCGCACATGGAGCAGATGGGCGCGGGGTTCTCGGGGAAGAGTGAGTGAGGGAGTAAGTGTGAGGGGTAGAGTGAGTGAAGGAGCGAGTGCGAGGGGTGGAGTGAGTGAGGGAGTGTAAAAGCAAGGGATCATTCTTGCCATGCTCCCATTCATCATGGAGATCACGTGTGCTGCAGTGATGCTTGTTCCTAGATTTACTCACGGCTCTTGCATTTCCCTTCCCACCCTGCCCCTCTTTCCCCACACCCCAAGCCAAGCACCGCTCGCCACGCTGCCGTTCACCATGGAGACCGTGTGTGGTGCAGTCATCAGCCAGGCCACGCTGCTGGCCACGATGCTGGCCACGATGCTGGCCACTCGCAAGGGCGCCAAGCTCACGCTCGAGTTGGGCAGTGACGTCAAGACGCTGCCTTTGTGTGGGGATGCGCCGAGGCTGCAGCAGGTGAGAGAGTAGGAAGGGGAGAAAAGGCAGGTGGTAGGGTAGGGTAAGGGGCAGTTGTTTTCTTGAGAAAACTGCAGGCCACGCTGCTGGCCACTCGCAAGGGCGCCAAGCTCACGCTCGAGCTGGGAAGTGACGTGAAGACGCTGCCTACCCAACCAGGCCCTGCTGTAGGCCTCCTCTCGCAAGGGCTAATTCCTACCCTTTCTGCCTTCACACCTGTCTGCTTTCCCCTTTCAGATTCTGTTCGGGCTGCTGTGTGCGGCAGTGAGCCACACGCAGGCCAGGGGGCTGGTGAAGCTGCCTTAGCGCATGCCTCTCTCCCTCTCCTTTCCAATCCTCTTTCCTTGTTCCTCGCCTCTTCAGGTTCTGCGCGGGCTGCTGTGTGCGGCAGTGAGCCACACGCAGGCCAGGGGGCTGGTGACGCTGGAGGTGACTCAAAAGGGGTAACGGCTCTTCCGAGGAACAACAACCATGGCAGAACTCCATATAAGGTACATGAGTCGATATAGGGTGCAGAATTTGATGTAAGGTACATGAGTTGATATAAGGTCCAGAAATGGATAGGTAGAGAATCCGAATATGAGGTGCGGAATTCGATATAAGGTACAGGACTCGGTATGAGATTCAAAACTCGATGTAAGGGGCAGAACGCGATGTAAGGAACAGAACGCGATATAAGGGACAGTACTCGATGTAAGGGACAGAACTCGATGTAAGGGACAGAACTTGATGTAAGGGACAGAACTCCATGTAAGGGACAGAACGCGATGTAAGGGACAGAACTCGATGTAAGGGACAGCACTCGATGTAAGGTGTGTGAGGGGGTTCTAGCTACGTAACGTGCATCTTTCAGAATGTTCAGTCATAATTCTCAGAGAGCAGCAATTGTGTAGTCTAGGCTTAAGAAAAAGAACAACAGCGGTACTAGCTATGGTCTAGCTATGTAAGGTGCATCTCCCAGAATGTCTCAAATGGGTCGGGGTCTGCCTGCTGACCCATCATTCACCACATCTTTGACTGCACCACGCCCTCGTCAACCTGTTCTTATTCTCTTCTCTTCTCCCTCTGCCTTTCCACACCTCCCTCCCCCCCCTTTCCTTTTTTCTCTCCCTCTCTCCCTGCCACCCCCAGAATCTCCCACACGGGGCGGGGTCTACCAGAGGAGATCATCAACCAGATGTTTGACTCCAATGCTGCCACCACCTCTACCGCCACCGCCACCACCACCACCGCCACCACCCCCACTGCTGCCAGCGCTTCTGTTTCTGCCGGTGATAGAAGCTTCGGCCGGGAGCAGCGACGGTGGGGGCAGTGTCGGCGGGATGAGCGTGGGAGGCATGAGCAGCAGTAGCGGTGCGTTAAGGAGCAACGCAGAGGGCGTGTCGCTGAGCCTTATAAGGAGGATGCTGAAGAGTATGAAGGGCGAGGTGGTGTGGTGTATACAAGGGAGACCGGGCGCTGCTTGTTCTGGGTGCATGTGGATTTCCCCTTGTCCTCGGCGGCTTTACGGTGGGGCGGTGCCATTGCTGCTGCTGGTGCTGCTGCTGGTGGTGTTGGTGCTGGTTAGGGGCTGGTGCTGGTTAGGGGCTGGTGCTGTTTAGGGGCTGGTGCTCCCTCTGCCCCATAAGCTGCCTCAAAAGCCGGCCAGTGCTTCTTCTGGGTACATGTGAATACCCCTTTGTCCTCCGCTTTATGGTGGGGTGGTGCCGTTGCCGCTGGTGGTGCTGCTGCTGGTTGTGCTTCCGGTGCCTGGCGGTGCTGTTGGTGGGGCTGCGGTTGGTGCTGCTGCGGATCGTTGAGTTGAATCAAAGCGTTCCTAACCTAGGGTTTAGGAGGCGAGTTTGAGAGATCTCAAAACTCTGCGATGGGATGGGTGGCGACAGAAACGTTACAGGAGAATCGGCCCGTTGGCGGCAGGGTGTAGAAATGCTCCTGTACTCTGCCGATGTTATAAGTACAATTGCCGTTATGCTGACATCACCACCACCACTGCTGCTGCCAATGGGGTTGTTGCTGCCTCAATGTGGTGTGGTCCTCAGATGATGGTGGGGAGTTTACTATGATTTCTCAAAACAGAACAGAGGCATGGTGTGCAACCGTACATGTGTAAGGGTGATAGTGGGGATTAGTATACTTGGGCCCTTTCTCCTCACAAGCTTGTACCTATGCCGATCCAGGGATATAGCGTCTGCTGCCGCAGCTACTGCTACTGAGCTATGAACACTGATGCAGATAGATGTGCATATGGTAACCCTGTATGGCATGTGGCAACCCTGTGGTGTAGGGTATGAACGTTGGGAGGTTTGAGGGCAGGCCCTCATGTTCGTATTTGGCCTGTCTGATTCGTCGGACTCTCTCACAGTTTTAGTCTGAAACTCTCAGAGTTGGTAAAAAAAAAAGGCTGAAAGTTCAGAGTGTCCAAAAAAAAAAGTCTGAAAATTCATAATCAACACCAGTGAGAAGTCTGATTTTGATTTTAGGTGTGTGTGTTCTGTTGGTCTTGGTTGGACTACATTAGACAGGCCTACATACATACTATATTACTGCTTGCAATGCTTAGCCTTTTGAGTTAGAAGTACCCTACTACTTGTTGGGCTGATACGCCCTAGGATCTTTGTAGAGTTAAAGTCTGAGTAAAGTGATGTAATACGGTAGCGGAAGCGTTTGAATAAAGTCCTTGAACCACCTTGCGCTGGTATGTGAGGGCAAAGTAAGTTGATTAAAGCAAAGGGATACAGGAATTATATATATGAGTACAGAGAATATGAAGAGATATAATTGTAACAGATTTACTGTTGCGGTTCGATACAGTGCGACTTGGGCAACTGCTCAATGTCGAGTCAGTTGTGTGTCCTTGCTGTCGCGCTGCGTCAGGTCAAAGGTCGCTGACCTTTGACTTTCTCGTAACCTCCAGCGGTTACGTTAACCTCCGAGGGTTGACTCGCGGTGCTTCGATTTTAGCTGCTTCGCTTGTGTCTTGAGTTTCGACACGACAGATGCGCTTTAAGACTATTTGTTCCCAACACCCCCCTTCGCTTCTGGAGTGTCGAAAATGGTGACGTGGCTTTGTCCAGTTAGCAGCATGCAGTACTCGAACTTCTGCTTTCCGAGCTTCTTGGTCAAGTAGTCAGCTGCCATCTCAGACGTGGGACAGTAGGATAGTGGAGTTTCCCTTTCTCGATCTCGTCTTTCACGAAGAAATATCGCAGGGCGATATGCTTCGTTCTATTCGCGAATCCGCTCTTGTTGGCGATGCGAATCACAGATTGGTTGTCGTGTCAAACATTGTATGTTGTGCTTGTTTAGGCTACAGTGGGTTAGCCTATAGTGGGTACACATTTCTAGGGTTAGGTTTGACCTATTTGTACCCAACTCTCATTCTAGTCATCCATTCTCGTTTTCTCATTCTGACATGGTATTACGAGCCTAGGTTTCACCTAGGACCGAAACGATAGGGCCCACCGTTTCCGCTAGCCGCGCCCTCGTGCGCCGCCTTTTCCTGCGCCTCGAGCGCCTCGTTCTTAAGGCCCCCTAAGGCCCTCTCGCGTCGCCCCTTAAGGCCCCTCACGGCCCCTCGCGTCGCCCTCTTAAGGCCCCTTACGGCCCCGCGCTAGCCTCTCAAGGCCCCGTGTGGCCCCGCGCTAGCCTCTCACGGCCCCCGATCAGCCCCACGCTAGCCTCTCACGGCCCCCTCAGGCCCCGCGCTAGCCCCCTAAGGCCCCCGTCGGCCCCGCGCTAGCCCCGCGCTAGCCCCCTAAGGCACCCGTCGGCCCCGCGCTAGCCTCTCACGGCCCCCGAACGGCCCCGCGCTAGCCCCGAATGGCCCCGTGCGGCCCCCGCGCTAGCCTCTCACGGCCCCCCTCGGCCCCACGCTAGCCCTCTAAGGCCCCCGTCGGCCCCGCGCTAGCCTCTCACGGCCCTCGAACGGCCCCGCACTAGCCCCGAACGGCCCCCAACCGGCCTCACCCTCGCCCTGGACGGCCCCGCGCTCTCCCTTAGCAGCCCCACCCGGCCCCGCGCTCGCCCCTCTAGGACCGAGCCGAACCGCGCGACCCGCCTGAGCCGCGCCGCCCTAGCCGAGCCGCGCCGCCCTAGCCGAGCCGCGCCGCCCTAGCCGAGCCGCGCCGCCCTACTGCTTCCACTACTGCTGCCACTGCTACTGCTTCAGCTATGGCCAGCCCTACAGTTCTCTCGTTCGATACTGAGGGCCGCCCGATTAAGTTTGAGACCTGGCTCGATGATCTGCACCTGTTCCTCCAGCTCACTGCCAGAGAGGATATCTCGCTGTACGATCACGCACTAGGCACAGTCCCTGCTCCTGCTACTACTGCTACCGCTACTGCTCGCTCGCAGTGGCAGACTCGCGATGCCCACGCCCGCTTTGCCATTCGCAACTCCCTGCCAGTCGATGAGCGCGAGCACTTTGGCCAGCATCAGACTGCGCAGGCCCTGTACACTGCTGTAGTTGCGCGCTACTCCTCCCCGGCCTCAGCTGCACTAGGCCGTCTCTCCCTTCCCTACCTGTTCCCGGGCCTGTCCGCTTTCCAGACAGTCGCTGACCTCATCACTCACCTCCGTACTAGTGATGCCCGCTTCCGTGCAGCCATGCCCGCTGAGTTTCTTGCCTCCAACCCTCCCCCGCTCTGGCTCACTCTCTACCACCTAGTCACCCGCCTCCCTGACACTCTGCGTACAGTCAGGGACCACTTCCTAGCTCGCTGCCCCACTGAGCTCACCGTTGCCGCCCTAGAGAAGGAACTACTTGCAGCTGAGAAGAGTATTGTAGCTGTAGGTGCCTCTCGTGGCGACCCCCGCACCCCTTTCTTCGAGGGGTGTTCCCCCTCCCCCCTCCTCCCCTCTGTCGCCTCTGCTGCTGCTGTCGACCTTCTTGGTGTTGAGCAGGTCGGCTCTGCGTCCGCTCCCAGCGGGCGCCGTAGCGGCAAGGGCAGGGGAGGCAAGGGCGGTGGGGGTGACGGCGGGGGAGGCGGTGGTGGGGGTGGTGGCAGCGGTGGGGGCGGTGGCGGGGCTGGAGGGGCTAGTGGCAGCGGTGGGGGTGGTGGAGGCAGCGGCGGCGGCGGTGGCCGGGGTGGGGGCGGTGGTGGTGGCGGAAGTGGACGTGGCGGCGGCAGGGGCGGTGGTGGTCGTGGTGGAGGCGGCGGTGGTGGTCGTGGAGGCTCTGGCACTGGCCAGAGTGCGCAGCACCCTCAGTCCTCCCAGGAGCTTCGTGAGTGGTACTTACAGCACGGGGGTGGGGGGGGTAGCCTTAGCTGCACGTACGTCATCCGCACTGGTCGCCGCAAGGGACAGACGTGCGGGAGGGCGCACACTGCGCAGCGCTGCTTCTCTCGCCTAGATGACGCTTGGCGTGCTCAGTTTCGTGACGCTCCTGAGCTCCCTCAGTGGGCTGATCTCCTCAAGAAGGATATCGATATCTATGCTCTTGATTT